TACCCCCTACAACGTCACAAACTCACAATTCACAAACTTTACCTCTTTATAATATTAGTATAGGTTTACCGTTTGAAAAAATTGATAGTAAATATCTTTTACAATTCATTAGCGTATTTATACTTGAACTCAGGCCTTAATGATCTTCATAGTAACCACTACACCTTAGACCACCGATACAGTTAAAAATATTACCTAACTTTTATAAGTTATGAGTCCGAAATTTTTAGAGAATATCGTCCAAATTATACACACATTGTAATTTGTAATGACTATGTTGCATTTGATCTTAGTTTTCAATATGACAGACATAAAAGTTCCGTTTTTAAAAATATATGCTACACTGAACCCTTAATTGTGTTCAGAATGACTTTATACACTAAGGTCATAATGATGTCCGCCTGACCGATTCCGGCCATGGCGGCCAATCTCATTGAGACTCGCCAACTGCGCAGGAGATATTATAGTGCAGCGCGTGTACGCGCAGACACAACGTGCACTCTCTATTCCTGTCACTCTCATACTCCGGTGGGATGACCACTCGATACAACCAGTGAGAGTTAAGGCGCAGGACCGACGGCTTTACGTACTCTCCGAAGCACGGGGGTGAAACACCGCCAACTTCCCAACTCCGGGCTGTTACTTAGGCTTAATATACAGAAAGACTCAATAACCAAACTTGGCCCGACCCGGGACTCGAACCCAGGACCTCCAGGTGTGCAGCTGTACATGCTAGCCACTACACCACCGAGGCAGTTCATAATAAGCGTTACATTAATACCTACTCGTACATCTATCATCTTCTTTATATACCTAAATAAAAACGAGTGTTTGTACTCGTATGTTTGTCCTCTATCCGTTCCTAAATCATGGATCCGATTGTGATGAAACTCTGGTGCATGATTCTGTATACGCCTGCAAAGATTCCTTGTGCAAAAAAGTTTTTTTCTTTGGACCTTTGTCTTTTATGCGCTCTTAAACTATTCAAGGGACCCGAGTGAAGAAAAGGTAAGTCGCTAGTAATTTATAAATATTTTTCACGTTATCTTATCACATGTCACGCTGTTTACAGCTACACTTTATAATTTGGAAATAAAAATATTTAGACTGTTTTCTAGCACATATGTACATACATTCGTTCAGGTAGGTATTCAGAGTTCTATTCCTACTTGAGACACCTTATTTGCTTTATCTGTGCTAGTACTAAACTAGATCTTTTCTCACTTTATTGCATGATATAAGGTCAAAAGAAACCAATATAAAAAGTCTGTAGGATTTTTATATAGGTTTCTTTAATAATAAAATGTGAAAATTAACGATTCAAAATTTCATGTAAAAGTCCTTTGACTAAAATATATTTTGATTTTAATGAGAATTCACACCAAAATCAAAATTAGTTATAAAATAATTCTTCCACCCATAGGGGTAGAGTTACTGGAAGAGACTCCCTTGATGTATATATGAAATTCGGTTCTCAATTGGCGAAGACATAGTACAAATGAATTACCACTCATTTTTAAAGTTGATCAAAAAATAAAAAAACGTATTGCTTGTAATTATATATTTATTAGACATTATTTACACACTACAATTATATTCTAATTTGTTTTTATTCTGATATATAGTATATTATATATAAAAAAAACTATCTATATAAATAAATCTATATTTATAAACATGTAATACCATATATTAGTATAGTAATAATAACGTTGGCAGAGTATCGTTGAGACGTAAAGTGTTTGACTGACAGAGGTCTGAGGTTCAACATAGGTTCGTACAGGTTCCTATAGTTTCAAGTGAAACTTATTAATATAATATCTTAAGGAAGTTACGTACATACTTTACTACTTGCTTAACTATAATGATAGAGACTCTTGCAAAATTCATGTAGTATATGGGGCATTCCACTATTTTTTCGCCGACAATATTTTAAGATATGAATATCTAATAGGTAAATATGTATTTACGTATCGAATTATATTAGATTTGCTTTGCATCGGCTTTCTTCATTCTAAATGAAAACCTCCGTTTAGTTATTTTTTACATTTTAGTACCTGGAAGTCGGTTTTTATTTTTTGTTAAAATGTTTTTATATGTACTGTAGTGTGTATTTTATTGAAATTCATCCCCTAACGGAATTCAAAAGGGGTAGAAAGTTATTTTGGAGGTGATTTGTTTCGAAGTTGATATTAGTGTTTTTGATTTAAATTACATTTTATTTTGACACATGTTTGAAATATTTTGTAAATAATAATATGTATAATGACTTTTTTCTATATTAAACGCGGGCGTAGCCGCGGGTTGTGTTAGTTTTTTCTATAAAATGTAAAGAAAACCATGTCTTTAGTAGTTTATTTGTACACAAGTAATAGATAGATTTGGTTTGACTTATAACTTAACTCGTAGTTATCGATAAGTTTCTATAGCTGATTGTTTTATCATATCGCAACAACCTTTGTTTAAAATCTGACAACACCTGTATAAGATAAACTAGTCGGGTGGATAAATTTCTTGTCAATATATTTTCTATAATTTTCTTTGTAGATATTATTTTTTTATTTTTCTTTTGAAAATGTCAATTCGTTGCACGTATGAAGCTTTATTTTAAAATATTTAGGTGTCTAATTTTATTAATAACCTCAACCGATTTCGCCACGGCGCGGCGCGGTGGCCAATCTCACTGAGATTAGCCAACTGCGCAGGAGATATTATAGTGCACAAGTGTACGCGCAGACACAACGTGCACTCTCTATTCCTGTCATTCTCATACTCCGATGGGACGACTGCTCGACACGACCGGTGAGACCGACGGCTATACGAGCTCTTTCAGGCACGAGGTTGCAATATTGTCAATTCCCTAACTGGGCTTCTATATAATACTATACAATACCGGAATATCTTAGCATAAAATCTCAGTGATCAAACATAGCACGACCCGGGAATCGGACTCGGAGACTCAGCATCTGCAGCCGTACATACTAGACCACCAAGACAGTTTAATTTTATTATTCTCTATTGCTCATGGTTTCATTCCAAGATGTATATTTAAGGGCTTCAATTTTTTTTCTTCAAAAGAATTAATTATCAAACGTAACTATGTCCTTACAATAGTAATTGTCAAAGAATACCGACTTGTTGCGACTCTATTTCTGTGTGTCGTATTTTGAATGCATCCTATTGGACAGGAGTTTCAAATATTATATGTACTATATAATGTTTCAGAACAATCATATATATTATATAAGGCGCTATCTGTCGTAGGCCTTGACCCTTATCTAGAATATGGCCTACTTTTAATCTTTGACATCGGTTTCATCTAGCTAGAACAATTTCGGCCGTCCGGAAAAACAATCTTTTAGGTCCTCTGCCTCTCTTCCATTAATTCTACATTACCTGCCAGATATGATGTGTTTTACAAAGTTTTTTACTTACAAGAATATTACCTTCATATGCAGTGCCGAAGAGTCTCTACATCATAGTTCGTTTGATCTATACATAATAAATCTAAAAAACTTCAAATACTCTACAAATGCTATAAATTACAATTCATTTACGTCTCAAATTTTTATAATTACAACCTTTAATAATATGTATATGTATATATATATATATATATATATATATATATATATATATATATATAATTATATTTTCATGCTTTAATTAAAAAAATATATAATAAAATTAAATCAGTAGCGAATTAAATTTGTGTAATCAAAACTAAAAAAATCGTAGATAGAGTATGAACATAATCAGCTTAAACTTTTAATTGCAGATTACATTATTAAAATAATATAAATTAATTAGGTAATAATCATATTAAAATCTAAGTATATTTACTTTTAATCTTTATCGTTCATAATAGATATGAAAATTATTATATTACATATGTATGTATCTATTATCAATATTTCAGCACTTGGCTCCTGCAATGCAACCTGTACCGGTGCATTTTTTACCACTTTCTGTAATTTCATATAGGAATCATTCAAAAATTATAAAAACGTCAACTAGTAAAAGAATTTAAATAAATCAAACTATAAACTGTTACGTCTCAAACTCAAAAACTATATCTCTTTATGATATTAGTGTACATAAAAGTAAACAAAGTATTATGGACTAATATATTAATAGAATTCATGCGACAAACAAATCTGGCGCCTTTAGATTAGTCATTAGGCAATACCATATTAGATCGAATTATGTCAAAAAAACCTAAATCTAATTTTAGATAAACAGCAAGTCAACATAGGCTATATAGTATTTGATGACATTTTAGACAAAAATACCATTATTTTAATTCGCCAATGTAATGTAGGAAAAGGAAGACATTTTGTTGAATACATGATATAATATGGCAGTCAGTAACAGAGAGCTTTCATAGATTTACATATATAGAGTTCATACTCTAGTATATAATCATTTATATACTAGAAAAAGCTAAAAGGTTTTTTCATAAATAATACATTCTCCATATTATAATGTGCAGGTACATATAACAATGTTCTACTAATTTCGGCCTAAAATAAAAAAACAGTGGCCAATCTCACTAAGATTAGCTAACTATTTAGCTTCACCCGCGCCCTGAACCTAGAACCTCAGGAATAACGTAATGCCTGCTAGTACACTAACGAGGCTATCAATACAAAATATAAATATATTAAAAAAAATGTCTTATACGTCACCATCGTTTACTTCGTGTATAAATGTAATTTGGCTCGACTTGGCAGGGGCACTGCCGTGCCCCCGGTTTTAAAAAACTCAAAGTGGAAAGTGCTGATGTATGTATTATATAAAGCTATAATTTTGTTTAAATAACCACCAATTCACCTCATTTTCTAGGGCATTTCAATTTCTTTATAAAATAAAAAAGGTTACAATAACAACTGGACGGGTTTTGACAATTATGGTAACAATAATATTAGCCAAAATCATAGACACTTTTTATTCTATACTTTGTATAGCTGACTATATTCCATAAGTAGAGCCAGTGGTCAGAATACCTCAGATAGGTTTGTTTTATCCCCTCTAAAAACCACTAAGAAGGCTAAACCAATCACTGCGCCTGTAAGTATGCCTACAGCAAGTGCTAGAATCCGCTGCGCGAAGGACCATTTTGAACATGCCCAATATTGCTCCCGAATTACTCTGAAACGAAAAAAATGATCTTTGAAATACACAATACATATTAGTAGAACACAAGTTTGATTATTTTATAGTGTATTACTTTTTTCTTTGTGTTAAAAATCAATTGGAGTTAAAGAAGAAAAAGTACCTTTGATATGAACGGCAATTTAAAAAATGATAGTCTACTTATAGATAAATTCGAAATCTATACATAATATAATAAAATTGTAACTAAGCTAAATCTGTACATTAAATATTTTTTTTTAATTTTTATTGAAATATTTTATTGAAAATTATTATCGATATATTTTATTGAAAATTATTATCGATATAGAGGCGGAATCTATAGTTTTTTGAATGTTTGTCTGTCTGTCTCTCTGCCTGTCTGTGACCGCAACACGGCAAAACCATTGGGCAGATATTGATAAAATTTAGTATCGTGATAACGGGTTATCCGGATCAACATATAGTATACTTTTTACTGCGGGAAATATCTCATCTCTGAGAAATCTGTACTAAACGTTTAAACGTAAGTAGAGACGAACTCGAGTGGAGCGAGGGAGAGTCGTTAGTATTATATATCGATAACATAATACTATGTTAGTACAAATGCCTCATCCTATACAAAAACATTAGACAGGGTTATTTTGTTTTGCTTGAATAGATAATTAATAGATGTCGTTAATCCGCAAACTCTCGAATTATTTTATTTCATAAATATGTACAAGTAAGATATGATAAATTGCAAGTTCTGCGACACTTTAAGTGTTTTTAAATATGACAATTATTAACAACTCATAAAAAGTAAGACAGGCATTTATATCATTAACAGACACATACACACATGCACACGCACACGCACGCACGCAAGCACGCACGCACGCACGCACGCACGCACGCACACAGATAGCCCGTTCATGATATCCTGAGATATCAATAGTATGAAAAATCCACACATACAAGATATTTTACTTTTCCAATAAGCATAGTTTGCTTTATAAACTTCAAATAAGTTTGGATAAGGTAAGTTAAAAAATAACTTGAGAGAATATCAAATAACATTTTTAAAACTTTTTGTTCTACGGTAAGTGATACTTATATCATAATAACATAAACCAATTCTACTGTAGTTATTAATTTATGATTACATATTCTTTATTGTGGTGACATTGGTTTACCGACATCACTTTCAAAGTCATAAGATAGTGAAAATCTATTTCTATATGGCTTATTGTCGATAATATTAGAATACTTTTTTTTATTCAAGAGCAAAAAAAATGTCCATTTTCTTCCATGAGACTTAAAATAACCATATTATGCAATGAGAAACTTAAGAATTACTTGCAAAGTTTTTATAAAAGCGCTTTTATTATTTATGACAATGCGCCAACCTTTATCAAAATCAATTTAGTAGTTGTCCTATAATGGCTGAATTTTCATACAGCAGGCAAGCAGTTAAAAATATCTCATATTTCTGTAGGCTTTTATGCATATGACCTATGAATATAGGCCAGATATTTTAAAATCGCAGAAAAACGGTTAAAGTTTATTTTAGGAGGCACGACATCGATTTTGATATAAAATAAGGCAGCATTATTGGATTTAAAAAAAATGTATCTGGGAATCGAATTTGAAGTTTTAGAAGTATGTATACATTAAACTATGATAGTATCTCTTATAAATATAAAATTTTGAATAATTACGAGAAACTACTTTTTTTTTAATTAATTTATTAATTATAATGAACACAACAAATGCCGCCTGTTTTGTTATTTTTTTATGTCTTTATATGTATACATATATCCTATTTAATCCCATCCCATTATCTCACCAATATTATAAATGCGAAAATGGAACGGCTGAACGGATCTGGATGAAATTTGGAACAGAGATAGATAAAAGTCTGGAATAGTACATAAGTTTTTTCCCGGAAAAATGTACGGTTCCCGTCGAGTAGATAAAACGTATTTTATTATATATTAAAAGCGATGTAAAAATTTTCAAAAGTTCCCAATTTTAAACTTCAAATAAACGAAAATAATAAATTCCTAATCGATTTTTCCGAATAGATTACACAGATACGTACTTGGTCAAAGTCTTTGCTCGCGATATTTATAGATTGTGGAGTATTTTACTCAGTCCTGTTGTATCTTTTAAACAAACAATATCTTATCTTTTTAGAACACTTGCTTCTAAGTTAGAAAATATAAGAATGTTATCATACAAAAGATTTACGTTTTTATTATATTATCACCATTACAAATAGTATATACAATCCAATATAGGAGTTTTAATTCCATTATTATATATACTTGCTGATTTGAAAGGTGTTGCCTTATCTAAAAATATATAAATATTTTTGTTTGTAATCTTTGATATTGCACAAAATTTTTTTTAGGGAAAAATACTTTTAGTTTTTCCGAATCCTTTTTCTAAAAACTTTATTAGCACTATAAATACGGGTATTTTGATCAATTGTATGTTTAACTTTTTCAAGTTATGCCTTTACTAATGAACATTTCATTTTTATTTATATAATAGCTCTACGAGTATATATTTAAGTGAACATCACCTCGGATTTTCTTTAATCATAATGGAATTGCTGCTTATTTCAGTTTCAATTTCTAGTAACTAAATACATTTAGTTACTAGCATTGCCCGCGGCTCCGCCCGCATTCAAATGACAAAATACATATTAGTATACTCTTACATTGCAGTTTTTGTATTTTTTCTCAGAGATGAGACATTTTCCCGCGGTAAAAAGTACCCTATATGTTGACCCGGATAACCAGCGATAACCATACCAAATCTCATCAAAATCCGTCCAGTGGTTTTTCTGTGATGCGGTAACACACAGACAGACAAAAATTCTAAAAACTATAGATTCGGCCTCTGTATCGATAATAAAGTCCATTTCCTACGATTTTCCAAAAAATATTTAATGTACAGATTCGGCTTAGTTACAATTTTATTATACGTATAGATTAGCCCCTCTACAATGTTCCGAATGTACAATACAGTCATTAAATATGTAATAAATAATATATAAAAAACAATATACATACGTTGTAGGCGGTTCATACGATCTATTCGAATTTACATTGTTCACACTGCCCACAAAAGCGCTGTTCACATAAACAAAATCACTTTTAGTAGAATACTGTGCGCCACTATTATTAGCTTTTTGTGGATACCCTAAATATTCTCCGTATGTTTGTTTTTGCGGTGTTATAACGTCAACTCTGACATTCTGTAAGGTATTTCCTAACGCCTGCTTCGACATGGTTCTAATGACCGTCTCCGACGCTTCTCAGCGGAAAACTAAGCCGAGATATCGAAAATTGATAAATATATCAAATGATAACAGATACCACCGATACTCTGTCAGATCGATTGTTTTAACGTTTTATTCAATAGCTAAATATCTTACCTCTATTTGTTTTATTTGCACACATTATGAGATACGCTATGGTTAAAAATAGTTTCATGGCTATCTTTTATTGCGATAAATTACTGTATAGTGATAAGCGATCCTATATCTGTACGTGGATTATGGGTTTTGATCCCTTTGATGGTAATGGTGTATGTGTTATATAAATATTTATGTATATACTAAATTGGTTTTATCCAACGTTACGATAAGGGAGTAAGAAATAGCTCATGTGACACACTAAATCTGTTACACTTTTGTATAGCTAAAACCCTTCCTTAGGGTTTTTTTTGAAATAAAATTAGTACATTTAGCTTGAACCATACGACAGATTTGAGTTTTATTTGTATAGGGACACTTTAAAAAAATACTTTTCCTAAGAACTTTTCTAAGAAAGTATTATGGACTTTTTAGATATTAACGAGTGTCTTTGATAGCAACTTTAATTAGATATTGCATTTACATTGTCCGTCTAAAGTCTAAACATATAGCATAAACAGCTCTATCGTTTTATAAACAATGTCTTATTCCTAAAGCGGACAATGGAAAAAACTCCAAAAGCGGTCGAGATGGGTCGAGAGCATCATTAATTTCGCCATACATGGCCCCATCCATGAATGCGTTGAGGGCTTCCACGTAACCAGTATCTGGTTTTTTGGTCGCAGACTTATTAGTTATCCAATATGGAGTTAGGCGTAATTAACAGGTTTATTATTGGTAATTACTAGCAACATACTGCCTATTAAATAATGTATAGATTTTATTATCTGTTTCTATCATAGAGCTTTAACTTATTTTTTTTTTGTTCTCTTAAAACTCCTGTATGCTAAGAAACAGGGGTTTATTTTAATTTAGCATTTTGTTTTGCTTCTGCACTGGTCGTGGTTAGTCTTAATTGGCTCGCGCGATCTGTATTCCCGGCAACTGCTGCGACAATTTGATTGCCTTCTGAATCCATTATTTAAATTCCAGGAAAGCCTACATCTCAGGAACTCGCCTATTATACATGAAACCAACTACCCTGTAATTTGGTTCGGTAACCTGCGTGATTGCTACATTTATTTAAATTGTACTAGAACTAGCATAGGCCTTTATGCCTTTGCCTATCTCAGGTATTTAAAAAATAAACATCTTGTATCATAACATTAATAGAATAAATGAGGTTTGTCAATACATGTTTTGAGTCATATCATCTAGAAAAATAATATTGCGAGTATATAAATATTAGTAATATTATATTCTACGAGTAAATTTATTTCGTGTTTCTCGGAAAGGGCTCTACATGAGAGTATTTGGATCAAATTTTGTATTTAGATAAGGTTGTGCTTTTTAAGTTTATCTTTATAGGTGTCTTTTCTGAAAGAAACGCAACTACTTCAACACAACACGTTTTTAAAAAAAACGCCGAGCGAAGCTCGTTTAGCCAGATGCTATTACATAAAAGAGCTAATTTATATGTACATATGTCGACTGCGACATTGAAAATTGATAACAACATCACAATAGCTCGCCTCCATTTTTTGGATTGGCATCGAAAGTTAGTGCAGTACAGTATTTGAAGAAAAGAAACTTTAAAAGTAATAAAACTGTATATTTTTTTTTTATTAATTGGGACTTAAAATAACTACATATTATACCAAAAGGTAGACAAATCATATTAATATAGCTATGTTTTATTATATAATACATTTTTAGATGTATGTTAAAGCATTATTATACTCATATAATATGAAAGTAAGAATAAAAAATCGTATCCCGTATAAATACACATATGAAAACGGACGGAGCTATTGGAAACTTTTTATAAACCTTTATCTAAAATTAACTTAAAAAGACCACCAATTTAACTCTCATCACATCATAAAGAACGATGCACCAATCAAATGTATTTATTTCTTAACCAACTCATACGTTTGTTTGTTTGTACATACTCGTCGGTTCCCATAGCGCCTGTCGCATCGTTAATAGCGTGGCCACGACCAAGTCTAATTGCTCGGGTGAGAACTACTGTCTTACCCGTTTTGTTTGCTCTCTTAATGGCTCGATCGGTCCATCGCTCTAACATACTAGGTTTCTATGTTGAATATCTTGATAGCTATGTAAGTGCATGTCAGACGACAATTATAAATAAATAAAATATGTTGGGACATTAACACACAGCACCATCTAGTTCCATGGTAAGCTACGAGGCTTGTGTTATGGATACCAGATAGTTGATACACTACACATACTATACAACTTTAAATACATACATATTATAAATATAAACACCCATGACTTGAGTATAAACATTCGTGCTCATCACACAAATGAATGCCCCCAGCGGGACTCGAACCCGCGACCGCTGGCGTAGCAAGTAGGGTCACTACAAACTGAGCCAAAATTGAGGAAATAATAACCATGAGGTATTTTTTTAACAATTTTGTGGAGTCAACATTCTCTCGTTTTGATTATAATACTGTTATATGTTAAATATTTCGCAATTATTCGCTTGTAGGGTATTGTGTATAATGTTATTACCTATTGTTTGTTTAATGTAATGGAGATATCCGATTTCAAATTATCCTAACAACGCTAGACGTTCCAGCTATCTAAGTTTATGTACTATAAAATTGTACATAAACAGCATTATTGTATTATTTCTATGCTATCTTACATTATGCTCATTCATTTCTTAATTTTAGAAATGGCATCAATATATACACAAAATATTTATGTATGTATGTATATGAAACTAAACAATTTTCAAAATTGAACGAAAATTTTGCTCCTGCTATTCAAGATAAAACAATTTATGCACTGGTGATATCTTGACCTATTAATATGAGTTCTTAACTTTTTATCTAAAAAAATTATGTGAAGATCAAAAATAAACACTTTAAAAATCTCCTACTCTACATTCTGCTTTTATTTACACGAAAAAGCTCTTAATGATGTTTATTTTTAGTAACTATGTATATTTGTGTTTCATAGAAAATGGAATTGTTGCACGTGATTATCAAAGCCGGCCCATCGCCCCGTCCTCTGGCGTGGTCTGTGGAAGTGTCTTCAACAGAGAGTGGCGATGACTGGCGGATGCTGCGCGCTTTTGGAGACCGTGATCATTGCCGTAAATTGTGGGATCTTCGACCTGAGAGGCGGAGAAGGAAAGCTAGAAGTGCTAAACGAGCTAGTCGAGCGGAAAAAGCATCTTGCTCAACTCAGTTTACAAGTCCGAAGCCGCTAGAAAACGGAGAGGTGAGACTTTGTAACAAGCTTGTTATAGATTAGTAAATTCTATATTAAAATTATAAAAATTATAAATATTTTAAATAAAACTATATTTTCGGATTTTTTCGCGAATTTACTTTGATTTTTGGTTCTCGACGTTTCAAATGCTTTACAGCAATCATGGTCACGGGAGAGACTGATTGCTGCTGATGATCACCATGATTGCTGTTAAGCATTCAAAACGTTGGGAATCAAGAATCAAAATAAATCCGGGAGAGAATCCGAAAAATATTTGCGTACATCTAAGAAAGTATTAATTATTATTAATATGTAATATTATAAATAGCAAAATTTATTTCATCAAAAGTGAAGAGTCTTCTACTTAATCACTGAATTTGATTAAAGAATGAGAGGATCTCACATAAATTGTTTCGTATAGGTATATAACTATATATATATATAATGTAATGTAATGTAAGGTGGACTCGTTTTCCGCACTTAGACTCCCTTCTGGTCCGTTGTGCGTGCGAATCCTGGCTATATTAGCCAGCCTAGCTCCGCCCAGAAGCGCAGAAGTTTCCTGGGAACTTCACAGGCTTCGCGGAGCGACCTCACTGGTCCGAGGATTTCTTCACGTTGAGAACTTACCGCTACGCATTCCAGGATTACGTGGGCAGCTGTTTCTTCAGCGCCGAGGCACCCTCTGCACAGAGGGGTGTCCGTTGCGCCGATGTTATATAGGTGTTTGTTCAAGGGACAGTGGCCCGTTATCGTCCCTATCATTATTTTGAGATTTGTTCTATTGAGGTTTATTAAGCGTTTTGTAAGTCGTGGGTTTACTGCAGGCAGAGCTGATCTTGATTGTCTGCAGTCTGCAGTTTGTGACCATCTGTTGTTTTGTAATGTCGTGGATCTTTGGCGGATCCAGGTGCGAATCTGTGCAAAGGGTATGGGGAGAAGCGGGAGTGGGCCAGTCACTTCTAGTTTTGACCCCCTCTTTGCAAGTTCGTCAGCTGCATCGTTGCCAAGTGAACCACTGTGTGCCCTGATCCATTGAAGGGTGATCTGATTTGTTTATATATATATATATATATATATATATATATATATATATATATGTATATATATAGCTTTATATTTTGACGAAGCAAGTAACTAAGATAATTGTATGATGTTCGAGTAAGTGAGTATGCGAGAATACTTCTAAGTTGTAACTAGCCACTGATCAATTTTAACTGCATTAAAACCAAATTTAACTAAAATTTAAGCGATTAATTAATGATTTTATCAACTTGATGACATATCGTGTAAACGAGGTAAAGTGTCATGTAGTACTTTGGCCTTTCACTGATATTTTTATTAGTCATCAATATGAAAATAAATCTTTAATGATCATCGCGTGAGATAACAATAATAATCACATGAGTCACTCATTAGTTCATTTATCGGTTATCTGTTATATTATCATTTGCAACATGATTATTATCACTTTTTTTACTTATACGTAGAAAAATCGTGAGCAAACCTTCATGTGTGAGAGAGCGTAGAAAGTTTTCGAAAGACATGTGAAGTCTGCTAACCAAAAATAAACATATATATATATATATATATATATATATGTGTGTATATATTAAATCACAATAATTTAATAGAAATAACCCTATTTTAGTCCTTATTGTCTTTACCTGTACTTAAAATTGCTAGTTGAAACTTGCACCGTTCACACACTAACACTTTACTGTGGAATAGAGTTCGATATAGATTTTAACACTACTTGGAAACCACACATCTGAAAATAAAAATTTGCCAATCTCGGGCTACTACAAGACCTAGAAAATTTAAAAAAATATACTTAATAGCATATACATCTAACTAATACCTAGTTAACTAAACAGCTAGCTAAATGAATAGAAGAAACAAATGAAACCGTTGCTCTAAACTCTCAAAATATATATATCTATGTATTTACAAAGTAATTGTTGTAAATTTCAACGTATTCACATAAAATAAAACTAATTTGGCACTGACTAAAAATATGTATATAAAATTTTCAAGGCGATTTGATGTTGTATTTATTATATAAATAAGTCTGTCTATATATAAATATTTTATTGTTATTTTACTATTTTGATTTTTCGCAGATGCATGTAAACATGGGTGAAGGGGTGCCAGCTCGGCGCGTGCGGGTGTCGTTCCGCGCCGCACACTCTACCGCCAGACACCGGTATTATACTGTTCGTGAAGTGACTCTAGCTGCAAGGTGCATATGTCATGGACACGCGAAACACTGCACTGTGGACCATAAAGTAAGATTTTTTCCTATAATATGGTTTAAGAAATAAAACTTATTATTAAGTAAACAACGAGCAAGCGTAATCTATACATACTCGTATGATAAAATTGTAACTAAGCCGAATCTGTACATTAAATATTGTTTGGAAAATCTTATTGATATAAACATTATTATCGATATAGAGGCCAAATCTGTAGTTTTTAGAATTTTGTCTGTCTGTCTGTTACCGCATCACAGTAAACCACTGGAGGGTTTTTGATGAAATTTGGTACGGTGATAGCTGGTTATCAGAGTCAACATATAGGATACTTTTTACCACAGGAAAATATCTCATTTCTGAGAAAAAATAGAAAGACTGCATTGTAAGAGTATACTAATATGTAAAATCTAAGAATATGGTTTTTGGGCATCTGAACGCGGGCGAAGCCGCGGGCAATGCTAGTAATCTTATAAAAATCTTCAAAAATTGTAAAGTGTAGGCTGTAGCAAAGCCATTTTCCAAAGCGATGACGTCTTAAGTAAGGTGCTTTTACATCACCATACATTCTTGGAAGTTAATACTATGTATATCAATACTGCCATTAGTAGGTATATGTGTATTGTATACCAGTGAGATTATTAAAAAAAACCAACTCGCTAAACCGTATCGAATCTGAGATAAAGTGGTTGCCATTTCTTATTATCAGGTATTAGTTTTAAATAAATACTGCTATTTTCTTCTCAAAAAGTTTTTGTCAAGCGACTCGCCAACCTAGTTCATATACGAACGTTACCTCCATATTTCGATGAGGTATTTAGGTAACAAGTGGATCTATTTTTAATAGTTTTTATGAATTACTTATGATATTACGAAATATTTCCATTGCAGAGTGCAAAATGCGATTGTATCCATGGGACTTGTGGTGTGCACTGCCAGCGGTGTTGCTCCGGCGGTCTGTGGCGCGCTCACAAGCCCTGCGACCAGACCATGGAAGATAAGAGCGAATGCTCTTGCGGTGAAAGAGGGGCTTGCTCCTATGACGACACTGGTGCTATACTATGTGTTAATTGCACGGTAAGTTATTTTTATAGTTTTAACGTTTAGAATAGATTATGTATTTTTGTTTGTATCTTTTTCTTGGTGTACAATAAATTGTAATTGAATTGAATTGATTTATCACAGATGAGATATTTTCCCGCATTACAAAACATCCTATAAGTTGACCTGAATAACCACCTATCATCATACCAAATTTCATCAAAAACCCTCTAGTGAATTTTCCGGTATGCGGTCACAGACAAACAGACAGACGCACAAAAATTCTAAAAATTATAGATTCGGCCTCTGCGTCGATAACAAGATCTATTTCAATAAGGTTTTCCAAAAAATGTTTAATGTACAGATTCGGCTTGGTTACAATTTTATTATATACCTATACTAGCGGACCCGACAGACGTTGTCCTGTCTACACGTCTTTAATTTGAAAATTTCAAACTTTTTTTAATAATTTTTTTGATGAAAATTATTATTCAAATTGTGAATCTAAACCATTCCCAGATCCCCTTGAACACACACAAAAAATTTCATCAATATCGGTCCAGTCGTTTGAGAGAAGTTCAGTGACATACACACTCATAGAAGAATTATATATTTTATAAAGATAGCTAGATTTAAAGTGTCAAATATTCGCGTAAATCTAAGAAATTTTTATTTTAACTGGCTATTTTATGTGCAAAAATGACTTAGCTAGTACTTTTGTTTTTGGTAAAATTTAAATATACATATGTACATATAAAAGGTAATAATTGTTTGTTTTTTCATTTTCTATATTAGATGTTGAAATGAATGTTTATTATATTTAATTTAGAAACTATATAAAATTTAGTTTTAAGCGCTAAAAGTCCCAAATAAATAAGAATGTAAAGTCTTCTTTACGTATGCTTGTAGATGCGAGGATTATATTCTTCTCGTAATATTTAGTTTTTAAACGAGTCTATAATTTAGCAATTACCATATAAAAATATATATAAATGTTCGTATATTTAGGAATGTTAATATAATAATAGCTATTCTAGCTACATTTTAACGGTTAGTAGAGATTTCTCAGAAATGAGATATTTACCCGCAGTAAAAAGTTTCCTATATATTGACCCGGATAACCAGCTATCATCATACCAAATTTCATTAAAATCTGTCCAGTGGTTTTCTCGTGATGAGTTCCCAGACAGACAAAAAATCAAAAAACTATAGATTCGACGTCTGTATTGATAATAAATAAGAAAATATAATTTCAATAAGATTTTTCCAAAAAAATATTTAATGTACAGATTCGTCTCAGAATTTTATCATATGTATCGATTACTCTAATTAAACATTATTTAATTAATTTTTAGGAGAATCGAGCAGGTCCTTTCTGTGATAAATGTCTGGTTGGCTTCTACAACATACTGTCGGACGATCCGTGCGTGCCCTGCAATTGTGATCCAGAAGGTTCTGAAGGTAAACCGTTATATTTAGATTAGATTAAGAGATTTTGTGTATCTTTTTTTTTCTTCTAATACTTTGCACACTTAAAAAAAGCACTACTTACGACACAAAATGTCCTCAGAGAATATGCGCTCTTTTAAACATTTGAGTGCGCATTTAATTTTTTTTTTTTGTGAAATCAACTTTGAGCATTGCGTTTAAGGTTCAATTTAAATTGTCGTATGTTTACTTCAACTAGAATAATTAAATAAACACAATTAGTAAGAGTTTTAAGAGAAGTTTTGCATGGCAACAATCCCAAAAAAGTAAAGATACACAAGTCTCTTTACTTTTATGATCGTTGTTATTGGGATATATTTTAACTAGAAAATTGAAATTTAAATTATATTCGTAGTAACAAAATCGGTATAGTAGTTCCAAAATATTTTCAGTTTTATTTTTTTAAATTGTACCTATTATTACACCACTATTATATTGTCAAGTTTATGAATTCCCACGTCGAAAGATTACATTTTTGATCATAAGAAAAAAAAATGCAAAAACAAACAAAACTAATAACTACAAACAACACTTACAGGTTCATGCAAATGGGACAGAAAGCATCACCAGGTAAAGTGTGTTTGCAAGGAAGGGTTCACGGGGCACAAGTGCGACAGCTGCGAGGATCCGGACGCGGAGTTCCCCAACTGTCTGCGGCAGGCGACGGCGCCCGCGTGCAAGTGCGACCCGTGGGGCGTGGTGGACCCCAGCCGGGTTTGTGATGAAGTTTGCGAGTGCAAGGTGAGGGTTGTTGTATTCATATCAGTATTTATTATTGGTATTTTGTGATTAATGGCTATGCTAAGTACATTGGATAATTTAACTATATAGGAGAAGGACCGAATATGGAATACATAAACAAATTCTGAAAAAAATCAGTACAAAAGTTTTATTTTAATCAGTTTAATGGTTTACAATTAAATGCAGTCGTAATCACTCTTGAAAAGTAATAATGAAATCAACAAATAATAAACACTTTCCGTAATATTATTAACTAAAATAAATCAACCAAAAAATTGCTTCTCAAAAATGTGATCCTATTATGGAATACCCTATTCCATAATAGGATCACGTCTCGTTAATCAAAACAAAATAATAAAATCAATCCTGCAAGCAAAAATCACAAATAAAATCTGCATGTTCTGATCCGGAACACGCAACGTGACACCACTGTCTACAGGCAATGCACCGAATCCACTCTTCTCCCTTTATGTCTTCACTGAAAAGAACAGAGCAATAAATGTACCCAGCGTCAGCATTTGGATCGTACGGTTGAGTAACTGCGGGCTTATCGTCACTATAATCATTAAATAAAGATGGTATTTCTATCAGAAGATGATTCAGACTTCAACACTGGTTTCTACATTCGTTTGTTTTTCTGACAGCCTCTCTCGATGATGGCTGTGGCTATATGAAAGACATATGCTGCTCTCTTATAACCCATTGTTTGGGTTTTCACCGCTTCAATAGCGTTTTCCATATTGGTTTAGTTTCAGGCTTTTCGGTTTTTTACTGGCGACTCCATGTTGATTATGAATATATTTGTAAAAGAGAGAAATAGTAATAAGTCACCACATTAAAAACTTACTTACGTTGAGATCCTCATATGGACTAGTATTCCATATTAGGAACTCGACGATATTCCATATTACGAACAATATGATGGCGGGAGGAAAAAAAATATAACTTTTTTTCATTATTAAATATTCATAAAATAACAATACCATTTAAAAACTACATACTTCGATTAGATACTCACCAACTTATATCGGAATATTCGTGTAGGAATAATAAGAGAACATATACGTAAAGCTTACGTAAATATCCAATGGATGTTTCGTCAACAGTGTCGCGCACTCTTACTCGCATCTAGTGCTGCCAAAAGCCACACTCCCACTGGCCGTCGAACGCGGGTAGCGAGAGGGATACTATGACATACGTCTAGAATATTCGTGTCGCATAGTTTTAGAAATATTATGGTGTTCCATATTAGGAACGTATTCCATAATTGGTACTTTTCCTATAATAATGATAATGGTGACACCTACATAACAGGAACGAATGTCTTCTAGGGTTAAAGCATAGGTACTAAAACTTGTTGTTCATGTGTGTGTTTTATGAACACCTATCCGTAAAATATGGTATACCGTATACGATTCAATTCAATTCAATTGTCTTTTTAATGGCTTCAAAACATGCCAGTTGAACACAGAATACTTCGCCAATGTCACGTAAAATAGAGAAGAAACGAAGGAGATTAGTCGGTAAGATTCATATATAAACTTATTAAGAGAAACCTCTCACGCCCCTACATGTATTGTACCGTGTACAAAAAGGCTTAAACTTATTTTTGTGGTACGATTTGTAGAAACAGTATTAAAAGTATCATAATATAAAATATCATGTTATATGTAAATAAATGATGGTAATAAACAGTAAGCGGTATTGCAGCCGAACGTGGTGGGGTCGCGGTGCGACGCGTGCGCGCCGGGGCACTTCGGGCCGCGCTGCCTGCCCTGCTACTGCTCGCGCGTGGGCTCGCTGTGCCGCGCCGACGACACTGTCGGGGACGATGTGAGCGATTATTGTCTTAGTTTAGTTTGCTTCTTTAGCACCCACCTAATTTGAATTTCGGACTATAGATGTTCATGTTATACTAGCGATTCATCTTCGCTTCGCTTGGAAGTGTCCCTTGGTATATTTTTTTTTGAGTGGAAACTTTATTCTTTTTCTAAAACAAAATTAGAGTTACACTTTATACCGTGAACTACCTAAAAGTGGAATTCTCGTCAAAATCAGTCCAGATGTTTCGAAGATTAGTCAAAACAAACAGATAGACACACAAAAATTTTCATAGGCATTTAGTAAAAATTTGTTATTTTGACCATAGAAACACATGCATCAACTTTATTTATCTGTGTAGATGTAAATAGATTCTCTAATATTTAACAAGGCAAGTTATACAGCGGTAGTTATAGTATTTATAATATGCCTTGTAATGCGAAGTCTTATCCCAATTATTTTATTTGAAAAACCTGAAATTCAAACCTAGGACTTGACAATAATAAAGAAATATGTATATATAATCGTTCGGTATGCGGCAGGTGACTCTGCCACTGGGCGATGCATGGAGCATCAGCGACGCCGCCACCGAGGACAGCGTGTCGCCGGCTGTCGACGAAGAAGGAAGGCCCTTCCTCATCAGCTATGAGGTTTGTATTGCTTTATTATATACAAGCGACACGTCTTCGTCTCGTTTCTGCCTTACATACATTGCAAGTTAGACTTCTATCTCCTTTTCTAATTTAGATTGGATTAGAATTATGTCGTAGATATCGATTTGGTATTATCTATCTGTATGCCAAATTTCATCCGTTTAGCCGTTATAGCGTGATCGAGTTATAAACATCCATCTATCCAAACTTTCGCATTTATAATATTAGATAATGGGATATACCACATTAACTAAATCCCCAACCCCCACAGGTGGAGGGGTGGGAGTCGTACTACTTCGTGAGCACTCACCTGCGCGGCGCGCGCGCGGCGCTGTACGGCGGCGCGCTGGCGGCGCGCGTGGCGTGGGGCGTGGCGCGCGGGGACGCGGGCGGCAGCGCCTCCGCCGCGCCCGACGCCGTGCTGCTCGCCGCCGGTCAGTGCGATGCCGGGCTATGACCGGGGACCATGTTATCAATATTATATTTAGTTATAAATTCAGCTATCCATATTTTTTGTTTTTTTCAGCGTCAGATATGTATAACATAATAATGTAGTTAGAGTATATAACATACTTACGTTATGTTTGTCGCTACATACGTTTTAATATTTAGTATAGATTTCTCTGAGATCAGATTTTTCCCGCAGTTAAAAATAACCACTTGTCATCATACCAAATTTCATCAAAGCCCCTCCAGTTTTTTCCGTGACGCGGCAACAGACAGACAAAAATCCTAAAAACTAAATTCGGCCTCTATATCGATAATAATGTCTATATCAATAAGATTTTCCAAAAAATATTTAATGTACAGATTCGGTTTAGTTATAATTTTGTTATATGGTACATATATATGTATATACATATAACATTTTTTTGTCTTTATCTATATTACAGATGGCACAAAACTAACATACGGCAACACCAGCTACGAAACTCCAGGGCTAACAGAGTTGAAGGTCGTGCTGATGGAAGATGGCTGGTTCCTGGGCTCGGACCCCATCTCCCGCTCACAGTTCCTCGACGTGCTCAGTGACTTAAAGGCTATTATGATCAGAGCTCATTTTCATTTTGATCAAGATGAGGTAAGGTCCTTGTAATTGTATTGAAGTGCCTGTAAAATATGAATAGCAATATCGAAATTTAATGAATTGCTAAATATAAACATTATTAATACTAAATTCTAAAGCTTGATACATTAAATTCCTTCTATCTTTATTTTTCGCTATTCTTGTGTACTAAGTTGGGAAAATATATAAATTTACTTTTATATATGTAAAAGTACTCCTTGTGTGTCCACTATCGTGGACCACCACTACGACACAGTGTACCTCTACGACATTAACGTGTATTGTGCGTATTATAATATGTAGGTAAATAATCTTTATGTTTATAAATATAATAATGGCAACACTAAATATACATTATTAATTAAATTATAAACTTTTTTACAAAAAAATGTAATAATTATAATAATAACAGCTAAAATTAAATAAATACGCTGTCTGTAACAACTATAATATAATGTCTTTGAGACATCTGACACCTAGTATCTCCCGTGACCATGATTGATGTAAAGCATTCGAAACGTCGGGAATCAAAAATGAAAGTAAATTCGCGAAAAAATCTGAAAAGATAGTTTTATTTAAAATGTCAAATATTCGCGTAAATTTAAGAAAGTATTATGTCTACAGTCATTTAATGTCCTTCTGACCGAGGGAGAAAAACTCAGTAATTAAACGTGGCCCGACCCGGGATTCGAACCCGGGGCCTACGGATGTGCAGCCATTAAATCGAGGCAGTTCTACTAATATAATCCATGCACTAGGTGCGCCTGGAGAGCGTGGAGATAAAGGCGGGCCCGCCGGGGCTGCGCGAGGTGTGCGCGTGCCCGGCGGGCTACGTGGGCGCGCAGTGCGGCGCCTGCGCGCCCACGCACGTGCGCCTCCCGCGCCGCGCGCCGCCCGCCTTCGAGTGCGTGCCCTGCGCCTGCAACGGCCACGCCGGCTGCGACGCTGGTTCGTGGTGCTGCCAGTTACATACATATATTATACCTTTTGAAGACAGTTTTAAAAGATATTATGATCGGACGAAGTGTGATCAATTAATTGATCTCTAATTTTATAATAACCGATCCTTGTTTGATGACTTTTATTGTAATTTTTTTTGGTACATTTAAATTTTTCATTGTTTATTTTTCGATATATTAACTTCAAAATCTATTTTAAATTAATTATTATTATATACAGGACACCTCTGCAGTGAAACGTAAAGAAACACCCTATTTTTCTCTAAACATTTAAAAACATATAATCTAATAATGATATTATTTTAAGGTATTTTATTATACTCATAGTTGATACTTATTATCCCAACAACTGTCGGCAGTGGACGGGCCGTGCGGGCCCTGCCAGCACAACACGACGGGGCCGCACTGCGAGCGCTGCCTGCCCGGACACTACGGGAACCCCGTACAAGTTAGTCATAAATTATATATTATACTAGCGACTCATCTACGCTTCGCTCGGGTTCGTCCCTAAGTACATTTTTTTTGAACTCTTAATACTTTTACTGAAATAAAAGTAGCCTAAGTTACTCCTTATAACATCAACTACCTGCCAGTGAAATGCCCGTCAAAATCGGCCCAGCCGTTTCGGAGATTAGCCGGAACAAACAGACAGACAGACAAAAATTTTAAAAATTGTGTTTTTCTTATAAATACAGTATATAAATTCCATATATGAATTTAGTAAAAAGCTGTTATTATGACATTACAAACAGACACTTTAATTTTATTTAATTTATAAATGTTCAGACTAGTGACTTAGGGTGCGTCCCTAGGTACAGTTTTAAATAGATATGAATGGTTATTGCGAGTGTACTTAGGAAAAACACAAATTTTTCTGTAGGCCTTATTAAGACGTACAATTTTTTAGTACATTGTTTTGATGTATCTCTTAAAGTTTAGCTAACGTTAGACATATATAGATAGATCCAGCTATTCTGTTTTCTCGTGGGAATTAAAGATTTTCCTGTAGTAAAAGGTATCCTAAATGTTGACCTGAGTAATAAATAAGTTATATCACTACATGGCATATCGTTTATCAGTGGCATGACCTTTTGTCATTTTATATCGAATGAGGGTCTGGAGAGTAAGTGAGAAAATGTAAACTATTAAGTAAGAGGTAAATAATTCATTTTCACAGGAAAATTTGATTTGATAAAATTCATACAATATATTATTATAAAAAAAATGTTTCGGACTTTTCTTCTTTTCTAAGGTAAGGTCTGATTAAATCAGACGTATCATATATTTCCTACTTATTACTCACTAGCGTCTCACCCTTGCTTCGCTCGGGTTCGTTCCTAGTTACGTTTTAATCTATACTAATATTATAAAGAGGTAAAGTTTGTGAGTTTGTGACGTTGTAGGGTAGGGGTAATCTCTGGATGTAATGAACCGATTTAGATGAAATTTGGTAAGAAGATAGTTTGAGATCTTGGAAAGTACATAGGATACTTTTAATCACGAAAATCATCCCTTAAGGGGGTAAAAATGGGGATGAAATTTTGTATTGGGAAGCAAGCTAGGGACGAACCCGAGCGAAGCGAGGATGAGTCGCTAGTTGTAATATAAAATAGGAAGATTATATTATACAACGTGTTTTCCCGTGGGGACGAGGTAATCTCCCGCGGTAAACAGTAGCCTATATCACTATCCAGCCCTCTACCTATCTCGATACAAAAAAATCACGACAATCCGTCACTTGTGAAAAAAGTCTCAAAAAAGAAAAAAATCTCGTCACGTCACATGTGAGAAAAGGACAAACAAACAAACACTCTTTCACATTTATAATTATATTAGTATGAATATGGAGGACCTAAATGTTTTTGTTTATAATATATAATTTGGCCATATCGTCAGGGCGCGTGCAAGCCGTGCGCGTGTCCGCTGTACGAGGCGTCCAACAACTTCAGCCCGAACTGCGCGCTGGCGGCGGCGCGCGGCGACGAGTTCGTGTGCACGCAGTGCCCCGACGGCTACACCGGCGACCACTGTGAGCTGTACGTGCACTTGTGTCTTACTATTGATGAACAATCATCATTAAGTACTAAAAATAATATTATCAGACTAATATTATACAACGTGTATGTGATTAGTTATAGGTTATTCTGCTTATACGAGTAAAATATCAATAACAACCCGGAGTTTTGCGCCCACTTTAACGGTGGACGCGTTAGTACTGGATATAATATCTCACTGGTCAGATGTACACATTGCTTTTTTACACACACTTGTGAATTATGTTATCTTCTACGAAATCGGCTAGTCTCAGATTTACTGTCGTAACCAAAATCGGTCAAACGGATTCGTCAAGGAGAAGTCGGATATTTAGGTTGATTTATTCGCAATAAAGTATTTGAATCAAAGCACACACCACCCACACAGGTGCGACGCCGGCTACTGGGGCTCGCCGGCGACGCCGGGCGGCGCGTGCCGGCGCTGCGCGTGCGGCGGCGGGCCGTGCCACGCGCGCTCCGGCCGCTGCCTGGTGTGTCCGCCGCACGCGGAGGGCGAGCGCTGCGACCAGTGCCAGGTGACACTCCTACATTATAATACTAGCGGAAAACAAATATAAACCTATCCATTTTCCAGGATAAAAGTAGCTTATATGTTATTCCAGACTACAATCTATCTCTGTGCCAAATTTCATCCGGATCCGTTCAGTGGCGTGAAAGAGTAACAAACATCATGCTCAAAAACTTTCACATTTATAATATTTATACAGATTCTACATAATATTTTATGTTTTATCGATGTCAGTCTAATACCGTCCACTACTGAGCGAGACTTTTTTACGTTAGGAAATGCATTTACGCAGACCACTTGGATTTATACAGGTATGATCCACAAAATTCAACAGAATCATTCCTATCTTAACTTACGCACTTAACTACTACGTCTCGATAGCTGCCAACAGACGTAAACCACAGCTGTGACCATGTAACCCACTCTGCTGTTAGAGAAGTTTGTTGGACTAAGGTTTCCCCGAATAAATGCCAACCATTCCAATCTTAGGTAGCATCCATCCGCTGTCACATTTCTTAAATCGTTAGTCTATCGTAGCGATCTAGCGTCTTACACTACGTCTTACACTTACCACTTATATTTTCGGTCTTTCCAAAATTGTCTTCTTATTCAATGTTTCCATAAAAAAATATTTTAACAAGTTTCTTTTATACATTTTTTTAAAGCAAATACTAGTTAAATCGGCCCAGTCCTTGTCATTTTAAATAAAACTATCTTTTCGGATTATTTGATTTGTGGTTCCCGACGTTTCGAATGCTTTACAGCAATTATGGTCACGGGAGAGACTGAGGTTATAGACGTCTCAAAGGCGTTATATACTTGTTACAGACAGTGTCTACCCACTATTTTACAAAATGATTTCAAAAATTAAGAAAGTACCACTTTTGGATTTTGACCGCCGGAAGCCGGAAACAAAATAAATCCGCGAAATATTCCGACAAGATAGTTTTGTTAAAAATGTCAAATATTCGCACAACTCTAAGAAAGTGTTCAGTCCTTGAAGAGGACTAGAGGTGTCTAAATTAATTTGGTAATAATCACGTGTGATGTGGCGATGATAAAATAAAAATCAACCGGTCAGTTAGGGGCTTTAATAGCAATTGACATGACTGTGCAAAAAAAAAGAGATACATATACGGCGAAGCGCCTGATTAATTTTAACAGCAATAACTTTTTATACAAAAATTGCTTATAACTAACTTAATCTAAATTACGGAAGCTCAAACAGTCCTTGTCATTTAATAAAAAAGATTGCTGGTAACAAACAAACATCATTGAATTTTTATTTACACAGAAGATATTTTAGGTGGATATTCTGAAGCAAATATGTATTATTCGGTGAGTTATAGAAAGAATAATTGTATTGTGTTCTAAGCTTAAGAGTTAATCACTGTTAATACAAACACGTACCAGGAGGGGTACTGGGCGGGCGGCGACAACGGGTCGTGCGTGGCGTGCGCGTGCGGCGCCGGCGCGCTGTCGGCGGCGTGCGACGCGCGCGGGCGCTGCGCCTGCGCGCGCGGCTGGGCGGGCCGCGCCTGCGACCGCTGCGCCGCCGGCCACGGCGGTACGTGCACGATGTGGGCTATATGCCTTCTGTTTGTTTTTTGTATAGGGACTTTTGGATTCTAATTTTGTTTTAGTAACTAGATGTTTTCAAATCTGTAACTACCCCATATAGAACGTATATAGTTATTGTTTGTTAGTGCAAAGAATATATAGGTAACAAAATAAATAGAGTACAGTATACATTTTAGAATTATTTTGTTAGTATTACTTATCTTATCAATAACCGTCAAAAATTGGCTGTATATCTATTTGTATTCACTAATTCCCCAAGCGATTCATCCAATATTTAAAATATTTTCATTGGTGGATAAGAAAATTCGAAATCATGACATATAAAAATTATGGAAGAGAGCTAAGAACTAATCTACAATATCTATGCATCCGCCGTAATACACGAATGTATGTAAAGTATAGATAATAGTAACATACAAAGCCACATCCCAGGGCTGGCGGAGGGCTGCCCGGCGTGCGCGTGCGGCGCGGCGGCGCGCGGCGCGGCGTGCGCGGCCGACAGCGGCGCCTGCGCCTGCGCGCCCGGCGCCGCGCCGCCGCGCTGCGCCGCCTGCCTGCCGGCGCACTACGGCCTCACCGCGAGCGGCTGCGAAGGTGAGTCTCTTTGTATCTCTCTGTCTCTCTCTTTAGTCAGTTGGGATTATCCATGAATATATAGAGTGGATTGTTTCTTTGACAGCCGTCAGCTGCGAATGACGGAAAAGCGACAGAGACAAAACAAATGCGAAGTCTTCTGTATTAATTTGAAATACGATTGATGAAGATAGATCTTTATAACCATTTTACATTCCGTTATAAAACGTATTATATTTTTTTATATTTTTTTATATTCCATATTTTATAAATTTAAATTGAAATAAAAGACAGGTATTGGCCGCACAATCGCTTCCTCTCTTTCTAGAGAGTGGTCAATTGAATGAAAGTATTGCTCAGTCTATTATCTACGTCTATGGTATTATCATAGTATGAAAAAACATTCAACTTGTCTGTCTCGTTGTGTTCCTCTTCCTATCACCCGCGATATAAAAAGCCATGCAACTTATGATTCCTTTTGATCTTAATAGCATTGTTGATAACGTCTAGTTAGTTGCTTTTATTGCAATGATTTTTCCAAAATGAACAATATTTATTTCAAATAAACAAATATTATTACACTGATATAAACAATATATTTAGGTAGCCAAACTAAGCGTTTGCTCATTTTCAGAAATTAAGTTTTTTTTTCTTAAGGCTGGGAAAAATTGTTTAGAATTTAAAAAATAGACATATGTAATTGCTAGTTAACTAACCCTAACCCTAAAACCCTAACATCTATATCCGAAATAGTATAAATACGAGTATATTAATCCCTTAACGACCGCGGACACGCCGACGTTACAGTTAACAATAGATTTCTTAGAAATTTTATTAATTTCTTAGAAATTTACCTAGAGGTGTTATGGCATTCAGGCTCGCGTACTTCCCGCGTCTTAACCCCACATACAACACAATCTTCTTCTCCCTGCCCATTTCCCAATCACTTGGGGTCGGCGCAGTACATCTTCTGTACTGCTGATAGGATTTGGCAAAAGTTTTACGACCGGCCGCCTGCCTGATGTCAACCCTCCGTGTAAATAACACAACACAATACCCTGTCTAAAAGATTTCGTCAGCATGATTGTGTTATTGAAAAACCTTGTGAGTGAACGAATAAGCATAAAAGCTCATATATTATTCAGGATATGATCTATATACATTTTGAATCTCAGGCAAAGTGTAAAATTCGGAATGGAAATGTTCACGACGCAACAACAACAAGGTCAAAAGAGTTTAGTCCCTCTCAAAAAAAACGCGAAAATAAAAGGAAAAACTATTTTTGTTTTTTACTTAAAATAAATTGTGCTTTTGTTATTTCTTTAATTTATACTAAAACTATATTCTATTACCTATTACAGCTATACGACATACATATGTAACTATAAAAACCACTTAAGAAAAATGTAGAAGCGCCATAAATTTACCATGAACCGGATCATCAATTGGAATGGCAAAAATAAATATATGGGAATTCTTCAAACATCAAATAATTTCTTAGATATAAGATTCGGAATCCGGAAATGCTTAGGATGTTTTTCGAAATATAACCGCAGTAAGATCGCGTGTAACGACTGGGAAGCCCAATGTAACAAATTCTATGAATAAATAATTATCATATTTAGTTCTATGAAATGATTTCAACTTAATGGTGATTGAATTTCTATTTTATGTATTCAAAATTAGTCAAATAGTATATATTATTAGCAGAACCCGCGGCTACGCCCGCGTACAATCTACAAAAAACCTGTTTGGTTTAATGTTACACAGCGAATCTCGAATTTATAAAATATTGTTTATACAAAAACACCATAATCGCGATTAAAAAATGGGGGGTGGAGGTAAGAGGGTGAAAAACACTTCACAATCTATCCTCATACCAACCAAATATACAAAAAAAATATCATTAAAATCGGTCGAGCCGTTTCGGAGGAATATGATCACAAACACCGTGACACGAGATATTTATATACATATTACATAGCTACTATAAAAATTTCATGAAGTAGTCTTCCTGACCGATTTCGGCCACGGCAGCCAATCTTACTGATACTACCCAAATGCAGGTAATATTATAGTGTACAAGTGTACGCGCAGACACAAATTTCACTCTATTCTTGTCACTCTCAAACTCCGATGAGACAATAAATTCAACACGACTGATGTTAGACCAGGCGCAGGACCGAAGTTTTTACTGATTTTTGAGGGACGGGGTTTTATCACCATTAATCTTCCAACTCTAAGCTATTACTGAGACTTTCTTAACAGAAACACTTAATAAATATACTTGGCGGGATTCGAACCCAGCACTTTCTAGAACATATACGTTCATGCTAGCCACTGGAACGCCGAATTAGTTAAATATAAAGATTATCTCAACATTATCTATTAAAAAATATAATTGCTACCTCTAGCATAACCTAAGTTCTCAGAACAAAAACAAAGCTGCACATAGCACTCAACAGTTCCCACGTAATATTGACATTTACCCGGCATCGAACCTATTACCCCCATTCTCGCACGCGACACCTACGGCTAGCAACACTGTCGTTCTGCAATTTGCGTAATATGCGTGCGCCCTAATTCCTTAACGATCAGACCCACCACAGTGCATTCCAGATGTAATTTTCTCATATCTTATACAAATTTTGTAATTTGTGTATGAAATTATTTAATTTTAAAGCTATATCAATAAAAATTTTATGCGATCTCATCAGGAAAAAAAAAAGGTTTAAATAAATATCAATAGATGGCGTTCAGTGTATGATTTTTTTTATTAATAGCGATAGTAGAAGCGATAATAAGCCTCTAGTTTTAGAAATAAGACACTTGGCCACAAACTAATATTTTCACAATATTATCCAAGTATCTCAAGCAACATCGCAATTGCAACAAAATAAACATCCATATTTGAAGAGGTAAATGTATGATCGACACCCGCGGCTACGCTGGTGTAGGTCCCGTCGTTAGTAAATTAGGGCGAACGCATATTACGCAAATTGTACAGAGCCAGTTCATTACTAGCCTTAGGTGAATACAACTTATGTGCTGTGTGAAAAACCAACATCCTGTTCATAGTTATACTTGGCAAAGATGTTACCTATGTACTCGTATAGTAGGTATCTACAGTACAATGAGAACGTGTGGGATGTTTGCAACAGTGAATCTGCCATAATAGAATCTTATTCTATGTTAGCATTGCCCGCGGATGTGCCCGCGTTCAGATCATCAAAAACCAAATTCTCATCTCAGGTTTTACAGATTATTATACTCTTACATTGCAGTTTATGCATTTTTTCTCAGAAATAAGATTTTTCCCTCCAGTGTTTTTTCCGGTAACAGACAGACAGACAGACAAAAAATCTAAAAACTATAGATTCGGCCTCTGTATCGATAATAATGTCTATTTCAATGAGATTATCCAAGAAATATTTAATGTACAGATTCGGTTTAGTTACAATTTCATTATATGTATGAAAACGCCACGATCGATCCTTGCTGCGTAATAGAAGGACAAACTAACAGACACTTTCGCATTATTAATTTTTATTAATATCTTGATTGATTTCGGCCACGGCGGCCAATTTCACTCACAAATTAACTATCTAACTGCGTAGGAGATATTATAGTACACAGGTGTACGCGCAGACACAAATGCACTCTCTATTCCTGACACCAATTATTAATGGGACGATAATTTGACACGACCGAATTAAGGCACAGAAATGATGCGACGTGTACTCTCCGAGGCACGAAGGTGAAACACTGCCAACTTCCTAACTCCAAGCTGTTACTAGGACTTTCTTAACAAAAATATTCAATAACTAAATCTGGGCCAGCCCCGGACTTGAACCCAGGACCTTTGGACGTGCAGCCGTACATGCTAGCTACTAAACCACTGAGACAATAGCGAATATGCGCGGATTTAAATACTTTTTTCATAATCTTTATTGCTTTTGAATTAAGCCTAAATTTTGTAATGTAATTTCTTTTTGATTAAGAAAATTAAAAAGTGACAATAAGGTGGGAAGTCAAAGTAGATGAAACGCTCGCTATTGGTCAGACCGAATGTGACGTCAAAGTATTATCGTAATAGAACGATTAGCGATTTTCTCGCTACAAAGTTGAGTCGTCATTTTTTTGTGTATATCATACTGTTACGTCACGCTAAGCGTGCAAAATGGTGGCCTTTAAGTATCCGTATCCGTATGATGTTTTTATACTAAATTTTGTTTTTTTTAGAGCTGGATATTTTTTACAATACATAAAAACCACGCATATTCCCTATTAAAATGTTTTTATTGAAATATTGCTATACTCACTGTATTGGAAAGTTATTTATTGCAGTCATCCCTTTATCTTTTTTTCTTTTCAGACATTTTAACTATACCAAAAAAAAAATCTTTAAGCGGGAAAGTCCCATAATTGAAACCTATTAAACTAGTAGTAAGCAAAGGGCGATAAAGTCTATCGTAATTATCATAAAACTAGGCAAGCCCTCTGTAGGTGTGAGTTACGGGTGATTCAAAATACGTTATAAATGTAAAATATACAGCTATAATATTAATTATCATTCAGATATAACTTTCATTGCCTGTTTGTACGTGTATTGAAGTAGTTTATATCCAAATGATAGTGATAGATAATATATGGAAATTGGAAGGGAAGGTTGAAAGCTTAAATTAAGCTTAATAGATGGGCTTGGTCGCTTAATATGTACATACTCGTAGATAGATGATAATAAGAATTAGTTTTAATTTAGTTTCAATTTTCATTTCTTTTAGTGTAAAGAATATTTTAAATACCCTATTTTTCTGTGTATATTGCGATGACGATTTCTTATTATAAGTAATAACAGTTATGTTGGGAAATTAACACATAGCACCATCTACTTCCATGGTAAGCTACGAGGCTTGTGTTGTGGATACCAAATAGTTGATACACTACACATATTTAACTTTAAATACATACATATTATAAATATAAACACCCATGATTAAAGTACAAACATTCATGCTCATCACACAAATGAATTCAGCGGGATTCGAACCCGCGACCGCTGGCCCAGCAAGTATGGCCACAACAAACTGAACCAAACGTGTCGTCTAATTTTAATTGGATAAAAGTGGACTTTTCTACTCTATTACTACTTCTTTTGAGTAGTAACTTCTGTACAATCTTTTTTTTAAACTGTCAAGACATTTAATAAGGCAGTTAATTTCTTTAACACGTGCTTATTTTGTGCGTTGTAAAGACCAATGTTTATTTTCAAATATACGGGCGGTAGCGCACTTCAAAGAGATGTAATGTAGCAAAGAGCCATTTGTTACTATAATTGCCGTTTGATTTTCCATGAAACAGTTCACTGGGAGTAGGTACGAGATATTTTGTTTTATATTGTCAGTATTTATTTCTGTTCATTGTAATTTATATTGTACTATCGATTTCTTATTATGAAAACTAATATTTTTACCTACAAATAAATACAGTTAAAGTGTCTGTTTGTAATGTCAAAATAACAGCGTTTTATTAAATGCATATGAATTATGAAATTATATACGGTACTTATAAGAAAAACACATTTTTTAAAATTTTTGTCTGTCTGTCTGTTCCGAATAATCTATGAAACGGCTAGACTGATTTTGAAGGGACTTTCACTGCAAGATAGCTGATGTTATAGAAGTAACATAGGCTACTTTTATTTCAGAAAAAGAATTAGGGTTCCACTCAAAAAAATTAAAACGTACCTAGGGACGAACCCGAGGGAAGTGAGGGTGAGTCGCTAGTTCTATAATACGGTTATTTCGTATGTTTGCTTATTAAGTCTGAACATGACCGTCTATATTAGCTTCTTAAGAATGTTTTAATTCAGATTTAATTTAAGAATACTTATATTTATTTGCTACATAATTTATTTATACTTACTTCTTAGTCTAAACTCTGCAAACTTTCCTTTTGGGCTGTGAATTAAAAAAATTTTACAATAAAACGCCATAGCTATACTCAGTCTGACACGAGACTCGAACACAGGATTGCACGATCTCCGGATCTGCAGCCATACGCAGCTTCTGGACCAAGAAGGCAGTTACATAAATTTAAATTTTTATTTCATAAAAAATGCTCATTCTAGAGATAAAATATTCAATGTTGGTTAAACTATAACTTTTGATATATTACTTTTAATCTCACAGCATCCCAATTCCGTCAAACAGCTCTGCGCAGATGCTTTGATGATATACAACTGTAAATATAGCAAGCTTTACCAGACACCAATTAATTATAATATTGCAGTACACATTTAGCTTGTAAATTAGGAAATATCTTCCTGATACTTTCCAGCCATTACCACTCGCGTTATAGTCGTAAATTAACTAACACATGTAAAATACGTGAATACTAGTCTTACACATAATAAAAATTAAACACCTTTTATAATACAAAAAAAGTACAAACAGAACTGTTATTCTTTTTTTTTGTATAATAATATTAGGTATTATTATATACTAGCGATATCAATCATAATATCGATCATAGTAGCGGTTTTGGACAAAAGCTATTACACAAACAAAAGTATCCCACGGGAACCGTACATTTTTCCGGGATAAAAAATAGCCTATTTGTTATTCTGATGTATGAACTATATTATTGTAAGGTTTCATTAAAATCCAGTCAGTAGTTTTTGTGTACTAAGCTGTATAATTTACTAAAGTTTTTTAACTATCTCACGGGAGCTCTTAAATTTTCCGGGATGAAAAGTACCTAAAATGTTGACCAGGGAGATAAGGTACCACCATGCAAAATTTCATTAAAATCGGTCCAACATTTTCGGAGATTAGCCCCTACAAACAGATAAACAGGCATAGAAACAAAAATATTGAAAAAATCTTGATTTGTTCTATTCCTTCTTACATTCTCCTGACTCGGTTTTTAGAATTTTTTTCTGTGTACAGACATTCGACCTCTATAGTTTTATTATATGTTAATGTATATAGATATTAATTGCATAGGTATGAAATGAAATGTAATCGACCAGCTATCTATATTTAAGGTAGACTGACTCGTGTTGCGCGGCGTCGCCCCGTCTACAGTTATTTGTGACGCACTGTGGCGACTGCTTTCTGTTAAAGCTCATTCACCGATCACTGAACAACTTACACTTATTATAAAATAATACTTTCTTAGATTTACGCAAATATTTAACATTTTAAATAAAACTACAAATATTGTCTTATTTTTATTTTTATTTTCCGTTCTCGGATGTTTCGAATGGTTTACAGCAATCATAGTCACGGGGAAGACTAAGGTTTTTGACGTCTCATACTTTAATATATAGTTGTTACAGACGGCGTGGCGTCTGACCTGAAAAATTCTAGGAATGGCATCGAAGTTGTAAATTCGATTTTTTACAGCAAACATGGTAACGTGAGAAACGAAACATCGGGAACCAAAATATAAAATAAAACAACAACATCCGAAAAGATAGTTTCAATTTAAAATATTAAATATTTACGTAAATCTAAAAAAAAATTATGTCGATTAAATCAAATTATAACGTTGTTATTCAGATTTCACAAACAAATTTCGTATCAGTTTATAGTTATAAAATAAATAATAAATAAAAAAGCCTGTATTTCCTTATCCTTAATTTCCATTTCAAATGTTGGTAGTTGTTTGTTAGTGTTTAGTTAGTTATTAATGTTTTGCTTATTGTCTAAATGTTAGTAAGAGTTTTAAAAAAAAAACCCCTCCTCGGGTGAAGGCCTCCACCAGTCCTTTCCACTTATCTCAGTTTATAGTTAGGTTCATGTTAATTTTACTTAAACTATTTTATCCAATAAAATTCTAAGAACTAATAATGATAGGTTTAACGTGTATTCAGCCCTTTTAACATCCCACTGCTGGGCACGGGCCTCCCTTCAATACGAGGGGGATCAGGCGATAGTCCACCGCGCTGGCCAAGTGCGAGTTGGCGGACTTTACATGTCTTTCGAAAACTTGCTAGGTTCTCTCAGACATGCAGGTTTCCCCACGATGTTTTCCTTCACTGTAAGGCAAGTGGTAATCATGTTAGAAATGATTCGCACATGAAAATATCAGAGGTGCGAGACCTGGGATTTGAACCCGCTTCACTCAGTTTCCCAAGCGAGCGCGTTACCACTAAGCTACCACTGCCTATTTAACGTAAAAAGTAGATTTTGAATGGATAGCCTAATAACCGCAAAAACACACTGTACAATGTACAGCAACAAGAAGATCGCTGATCTCGTTAACTTTAAGTGACCAAATAAAGAGTTTAACAGCTCGTTGTAAAATGTAATACATAATAGATATAAACGTCGATATCAAAACCTGTTGCAATTTCCAGGATCGTGTCCAAGACTTAACAATCGCCATTAGTACAAGCGGATTTCCGGTGTAGATTCGCTGCACTTGTTACATTATGTATGGTTATCCAAGTTTGTATAAACTTTAAATAAATTATTTAATTATGTTAATCATACAGACAGACTATCTGCGCATATTGATTTATGTAAGTCGTTACTCAAAGATGTAGCGCTACGTGAATAGGTAGCTTAGAATTGTATTTTTTAGTTTTACGGTGTTTCCACTTTTTTTATTTAAATTTATGTAAAATAAGTATATTTCAAATAAAATAACTCTAGTGGCTTATAAATAACATCTTGGTCACAAATCACTCATATTTACAGGTCCCAAGATTTTTTAAACACACTTTAAACAATTCTGATATATGAAAATAAAAATTTTGCAATATCGTTTTCACGTTCAAAAGAGATACGTTTAAAAATGAAATAAGTATGAATAAATAGTTAGATAATTTAGGAATAATTATTTTAAGCTTCAATACACAGTCCACATCCGAACTGCAATGAACCAGCTCTTTAACAA